CTGCTGACATTGAACTTTTATATGTCTAGCACAGTTTTTGATATTTACCAGTGGGTTCTTGGCTATACGCCTTGAGTGGGAAAACATTCTGCTTGGAAGCTACAAACCATTACCTCAGTAGATTGGCCCGGTCTTGACAAACAAACGAAAATCCAAAGAGCATCTAAGATAAGCTAATATAAGAAAATAACAATAACAATAAAATAAGTTAACTAATAACGTGTATCGCGACAGTGCAGAAGTATGCCTTATCGGCTTGTGTGAAAATATTTACATAACTTAGGAAAAACCGACAGAACAATCCAAGCACAGGTTTACCGCGATCCAACAGTTTTAGACAAGAGAGAAGTGGACAGACTAATGTTCTCAGTGCGCTGGGATGGCTTGCCGAACTACCTCCTCGTGGTGCCAGCTGGGTGGTTTGGGATATTCCCGTTCCATCAAATGGTTCAGCGGCAGTGTTCCAGGATGTGGTGGGTTTTCGACTGGTAAGCTTTCTCTCTATAAATAGCCACATATGTCCGTTTAACTACACTGTGACGTGACGGATATGACTCACCACAAAATAAAGTCACTGCCCCTTGTTTCATCCTGGCTAAGCATTGTGTTCCAGCAAAGTTATGCTGTAATTCTGGGGAGCATTGGGTTCCTTTTTGAAAAAGGAACAAACGAAAGGCGTATGAACTGAGCAATCAGTCACCGGCTCCGAATGGGCGCAATTACCTGAATTCGCTTCGCTGCCATTCGAGCAGGCCATTGGGCCAAATCCTTGGAGTGGTGTCCCCTAAGTCAACACCCTACTTCGGTTTGGGCAACCGGGTAGTATCTTGCCCACTGACGAAACCATGAACTCCGATGTGTGGTGCTGCTTTTTCTTTTACGAATTCTCTACCTTTTTTATCCTAGGGTTTCTGATGGCACTAGGTCTATTCGTAAACGGTTGCAATACATATATATATATATATGTGTATACATATATATATATCAATACACTGCAAAGTTGATGAGGTACCTGATTCTTTCTTCATACTGCCAAGATCAGCAAGGGTGTGGAGCGAAGATAATGCAGGTTGAGCTTCAGACTAGGCAGATGACACTTAGGCTACTGGAAAGATGGCGGTTACTTCATAACCGACTCCTAACCGAGCCCAGGTTCAAAACGTCGAACGAAACGCTCTGCTGACTTAAAGCGCCACCTCAGCGTACAACCGAAGTGGGGACCCCATTCAAAATGCACACTCGTGGCATGTCTGAAATAAGTTGGCATCTTCCTAGGCAATCCAGCATCAACACTGCATGCATGGTGCAAAAAGAAATTGAGAGGTAATAATTACGATGCCACTGCCCCAACTTCAAGCGACGCCTCGATAAAACCATCCGAAAGCGGCTACGGGTCGACCACAAAACGGTCAGCAACATCACTTATCCCAACCACGTGTCTTTCGGATCGCTACTGAGAACCCAAACACTTTCATTAATGTATACCAATGCCCAAGGCTTCCTCAGAAAAATTGCCGAGCTTCGGTTGCATCAGGCAACAAACGCTTGGGATCATATCTCTACAATCTGACTTTAGATACACTCAAATGTTACGGACGCCAAGATCGTGATTCAGGGGATGTCACTGTTCCTCACGCGATGGCCCTAGCAGGGGAGGTGGTGTAATCCGATGCCATCGCCTCAACATCCAGTGCGAATCATTGGATGATTTGGGGACTTGTGTCACCTATTCTCTATGATGTCGTTTGCGTCTCAGATACAATGACAACTGTTTCGTGCTATTACTTTATCGCCCCCCATCGTCCACTGAAGAGATGGACAACCGCCTGATATCAGCATTGACTTAAAGCTTACTCGCAACTTACAGCCACGTGCTTATCTCCGGCATTTCCAACGTGCACGACCTGAAAGCCTCGGCGTCCCCCAGCGAAGCATTCAAAGTCGAACTGCAAGACCTTGTTGCAAGTATTCCATTGTAAAATCACATTACATCACCAACAAAGTAAGGAGCTAATAACAAATCATTGTTGTCAGACCCCGTACTTACAAATGATGAATTTACGATAGACAGGCCATGAATAGACACCCAACTGAGGTTAATTGCGTATGTCACCATAGTTTACAACAACGTATGTTACACTAAACATCCGGAGGAACACAAAAACCAACACGGACTGTCACACGCTACAACATTCTGACCGATCTGGTTGCGGTGACGGATTGGGAATTCTTTAAATCTAGCTCCTCTGACAGCCCATGGATTCAGTTGGCTGCTCGCTTTAATAAGCTGCGTATAATTGGTTCAGAAAATAATCTGATTTGTCCCACGAAGCTATACTCATTCATCAGAAGCAGAACTCAAAAAGACATGTCACTAAGGAATGCAGCTTAGCACGCTTATAGAGTCCGTTCGGTTCCCGAAACCTGGCGCGACTACATGACACAGCGCAACCATTGTACTATGCTTGTCCGTGAGAGCAGAGTGACCGACAAACAACATTAAGCTTGCAAATTTACCAACAACAACAATCTGATTTATAAGAATGCTGAACTACTGTATCCACCCACTTAACACCGCAATCGGAGTGGTACAGAGCACTGAAGAAACAGCCAACGCTCTACGGGTGCCATAAACCGCGATCTTCCAAAAAGACATCCGCCAATATCGCCTCAATTGTAGTACTTATTAACATCGCTTTTATCGCCCCATCTGTATCCAAGCAACCACTCCACTGAGTATCTACAGTTCCTCCGGAACCGATGATATTCACCCCAGGGCGCTGAAGGTAGCAACAACAATGCTGGCCGAGCAACTAGCACACTACTTTCCAATGTGCTCGGATAAACAAATTGTACCAGCCATGTGGAAACATGATGTAATCAAGCCAAATTTCAAAAATAGAAATCGCCCGGACCCCACAAACTACCGCTCAGTGGTCCCCATCTCGGTACTCTTGAAGTTGATGGACGCGATCCTCGCTTAGTCTTAATCTGACTATCTAGAACGCTACATCCTGGTAGCTGAACAGCGCGGTTTCCGCAAACCCGTTCGTGCACTGCCAACCTATTGATAGCAGGCAGTATTTGGACTGGAGCGATCGACTATTGTAGAGGGAATGATGTCATTTACCTCGACCTCCAAAACATTCGACCGCTAAGATCACTGCATCCTGCTTAACAGGCTCAAAAGCAACGGACTTGTGGATCCAGTCTTTGGGTGGATCAGGAATTCCCTGCAGCATCTGCAACTCCAGGTTAGAGTAACTAGAGCATTGTCCAATCCAATGCACGTCGAATATTGAGTTCCACAAGGATCCGATCTGTGGTTGCTTCTGTTTCTTGTGTTCATTGTTGAACTTACGGCTCTGATTGCCTCGGTTTTATTGTTTTCGCCGAGGATGTTTAGTGGTGGCGTGAGATTTCCGAACAAGGGGATCACGATGCACTTCAACGAGACCTGGACAGTGCATAAGACTAGGCATTCCACAATTTGCCCAGGTTTATTCGTCTACATTCATCCCCAGCCGAACATCATGTACAAGCTTGGAGATCACAAGCTGCAAGCAGTCACCCAGGGGTGCGAGTTTTGGGTAGCAGTTCAGACTGATTTAGGCTGCTCAGATCACTCCAAGAAGGCTACAATAACTGGAAACCAACGCACTGGCAGGTTGCTGACTGCATTCGGGCGGTTTGATCCTCTGTCTGTTCGTAGATACTTAACATATCCACGCCGCCTAATGTGGAGTAAGTAATGAAGGCCTGGCAACCCTGGCAAACGCGAGGTCTTGCAGCGCCGGGAACTTCACCGCGAAGATGTACCAAGCGCGCCAGATGGTTGCTGCACCTTCCATAGTAACTTAGGCCGAGGACTTTAAGATTGCACATTGGTAATAATCGACAGCTACGTGGCGACCTAATAATAAGCTACCAGATTTTGATGAAGCCAAATCACTTCTGCCACCAGCTACTGCACTCATGCACACCAAGAATTTTAGGGCCGCAGATTTATTTTGGCCATGCAATGCGGTCGGCTAGGATGACGAAAAAACGTTTACTTTTTTCGTGTCTGCCAAGCATGAAACTTCCACCCAAATTATGTTATTTCTTCTCCCATATTATTTCTGTTTAAAATGGACTTAATGTTGTCCTAACACGCATAAATTACAAGATATATCGAGCGTATATTGACGGACGACATAATGTTACGAACGTTGCGCAGCCAGCATCAACAAACACAGTCGAGGTTGGCTCTTTTATGTGCTCCTCTGTGCGAAGACTATGGGGAGTTCACCAAAACGCTTTTCTTTACATTACTATGCTTTCTGTTCATCATTTTGTGGTTCCCATTCTAGCCATCCTAAGGGACATTTTGGGCAATTCTTTTTTACACTTAATAAACCATGGTCCCGTTGCTTCACGGAACCTTTATAAATCGCTGAAGTCACGCCCACCAGAAACCTAGGATTCCCAAGCTGACTGGCACATTGATCAAAACGATTTACGTGAATATAGGCTGGCATCAGTACAGAAGTTCGATTAAGACTCGGTGGCAGATGGTTACACTGCTTTAGTTAAGCTAAAATTGTGTTGCCCAAAAGTGGCTTCACCGCCCCTTCTACACCACCATCAGTGATCAAAAGATCAAACAGTGTCACCAGTAAATCATCAGATTGGTAAGCCTACAACCGCTGCATTAAACTGCCCATAAGTTGAATACTAATATTTCAAAACGAGTTGAAATAATTATTCGCCTCTTCAGACTTTTGCAAATTCTCATACCAGCTTGATCGTCCTCTATAACCCAACACTGCTAGTTGCGTGGTTAAGTTACCGATAGTAGATGTTAACATACATTATCTTATCAAGTTCCAGTATTACTGCAATCACAGTCTTAGAATAGTTCATTATGGACCGACACCTGCTTTTGCTCCAGCAAAAGTGTCCATCAGGGCTACCCAACCTCAACTTCTGTATAGAGCTCAGAACAAGAAAGAGCAATTGTCCTATCTGGACTTTGAATTGCTCAAATCCATCAGTTAACGAAACTAGTATACATGGACAACGCAATTCCTTCTGAAACCAGCTCTGACGCCGTACAAGCATTGGTACAATTGTTACATCAATGCATTGCATGCTTCGGCATATTTTGTACATCGCAAATGCTTGTGCTTCCACATAGTCTATTCGGCACATTATCAAATCTTAGTGCCGTCAAACAGCAAATGGAGATGGCAGTTCGGTTCGCCTTTTCGGTTAGTTGTACTGTCACCAGTTATAAAACCACTGAAGCGCATGACGTAAACACTTCAAACTCAGGTGGATTTACCACAGTTCAGACATCTGTTTGTATAACACTGTAACAAGCCCAGATATATCGTACGGATATGCAGCTGACCATAACGACTTGAAATCAATGCGGAACTGGGTGTCCTCGGCGTCCGCGATGGTTATTCGTGAGCGACAAAAGCACTAAATGGATAGCCCAAGGTCCACTAGTTGAAAATAACATCCCAAACCCCCTGCGCAACACCATGCACTCGTTTGCTTCGGTTGGTCCATCGAATGCACACTGACCAGTGACATGATTGCATGTTGCTCATCGTTGCTGCACCAGGATGTAGGGTGTTAAGCTTATGATTTGACTCGAGGATATGACCAGCTTATATGAAGAATTCGGTTCGGTAGGCGTTTGCCATCACGAGTATTGTGTTTAACACAACGTAATACCTAAGTCAATGGCATTCGAGGTTACGGTTTTAACATAAGAGTTAAGTCGCGTTTCTCTGCGGAATTCTTCCTCGGATAAATGTTTGCACCCTCTTCGATTTTCTTTCCATAGTTATTTCTATGTCCCTTATTAAGCAAAGCAGGTGTATAGTCATTACACTTAATACACATCTGCTTGGTGACGACTGCTTGAATATACATATTTTACCAGTCGCCTGCACCAGTGTGTAAACAATAGTTTCCAGTATCCAATCACCCACAATAGCTCCATCAGTAATGATGTGCCACGCGAACAGCTCTTTAAAGGACAAACAACAAGTGCAACAATGCGTTCCACTATGTACAGAAACCTCATTTGGACTGTTACAGTATGCATACTCGTACACCTGGTCTCAGTTTCACACAATCTAACGGCTAGCGGCATCATCTCCTGATCACTTGTGGAGTAAGCCGCTTCGAATACAAACCGACGAAACTTAGCAGTTTAGATGAATTTGGCAATGGTCACTGCATGGCGGAACGTTTCAGCCCACCCGTAGTAGTTGGTCCTTCACTACGGGAACGCAATCCTGCTCTTTGGCTAAAGTTCGAGGCATCTGGAAAGAATTCTCGTCTCTTCCTTTCCGAAGCCAGCGACAGAAAGCTTGAGGTGCTGATACCAGAGAGCCGACCAAATGCGGATGCAATGCTTATCCTTGATCTTGTGGCCTCAGACAAACGCCTAGTTTGTCTACCACCCGGAGGCATTGATTGTTCTCGTTGGTCAAGCATGCTTCCAGGTGCCTTCGTCTTACGTTTTGCCAATAAATTTCTTAATCTGGCTGAGGATTCCACTGTAAATGATAGTGCTGATACCTTTGAAAGTCTCCTAACTGAAGGCTGGTAGGCTTTTCGAAATGCTCTCTTCATCAGTCGAGTACCCATACCACGAATGATTTTTGCAACGTTAGTTGCGCTTCTTTCGAGCAGCGATAATTTTCCGTCTTCCTTTCCAGCCTTCGCACCGTCCTCCTCTAGAATATTTGTTTCCATGAGTCTTGCAGCTAAATGTCGGTTAGCTGTCTCTAATCTCTGGTGCTCTTGCAGTATAAGAGGAAATAGACGTTCTTTATTAATTGCCGCTCTTTTGCGTGCAGTCAGCATGAGCCTGCAGTGATTATCCAGAATTTCTTGCACCAAAGCCTTTTTCTGAACTGCAGATAGGGATCTGGTGATCCACCGTTTGGCGGCCCAAATTGTAAGCAAAAGGAAAAGGACCAAAAAATTGCACAATAGCCACAATGCCGTGCCTGTGTTACGAAGGATACGCATGCCCTTTGGATGCTCACCCAGGGACCACATCCACGACAAGGTAGGATGCACAGTGAGTTCGAATTCACTGAGTAAAATTCTCCTTGCTACTCGTTGGTTAGGTGAGTTCAAGACCGAAATCGGACCAACAGCAGGCACTAGTAAGAAGCATTGCCAGAAACCCCGGTGTGTCATATTCACCCTTTTGATCTGTTGTATTCGGCGCCCAGGCCGTGAGGTTAAACCACGAGAAAATTCGGCTCCGTTCAGCATCCACACTATTTGGGATGCTTCAAACCACACAGGTAATCCTTCTAATGAGTTAGCGTGGCCAAGATTTGAGTGCAAATAGAAGGGATCGGTCTGCTGTGCAGAATAACGAACGCCCACAATGACCAGAGAATAGAATACGGTCAACCATTTGTATTCACCAAAAGTCAGCTCACAAGTATAAAACCCACTGTCACCTTCCTGCACGCTGGTAAAAACAAGGTCAGAATCCTCCAACTGAGGAAGGGAAGAAGGCAACAAGTTCTCCCAGCGATGCTCCTCATCCGACAACGGATCCGGAGAAAGGAATATGCTGCTGGACGCTTTTCCTTTTGTTGGAGTGATTTTAGAATATGGATTGATTAGGTGGACTATCTTTCCGTTTTTATACCACTGCACTCTTAGTACTTTGCTCCTTAGAGACATTTTAGCAGCTGTAAACCTGTCCGGAACCGTAAGTCCCTTGGCCAATCGGTGAGCCGGTGTGTCACAGCTCAGTCGTACCAGTTGTCCTCTGCGCTTTCTTAGCACATTTCTAATACCCTTCAAACCTTTGATATAATCCTTTTCAAACTGTAGTTGAACTTGTAGTGCGATATTTCCACCCTCTCTAATCCCATCTTCCTCACAATTGTAGCTGCAGTTACTGGCTTGGCTACTTTGCCCGACACAAGGGATTCCAAATGGAGGCGGTTCCGGAGGTGGGTTATTGCATATTCGATGTCTAGTGCGAATCCCTTCTTGACACTTTGCCGTGGACTGTTGATGGATTGTATCCCTTGGTATACACGACGTCCAACTGCCCCACTCGCCCCAGCCGGCGATGTTCGGGCAACGTGAATGCACCACACAGACTGTGCAAGACTCAGCTTTAGATTCGTAGTCTTCCGGATTACTGCATCGCTCTGTACTGGTCTGAACTTTACCGAACGCGTCCAGACATTTCCGAACACGGCACCTGAGGCCGCGACCGCACGTTACAGAGCATGTCAGTGGGAGACTGGACCATGTGCCCCAGTGATACCCTTCGTTTGGGTTGTGCATTTGTGATAGACCGCTTGGCGGTAAACAAGATAGGATTGGGATCAATAAGCGCAGCCACATGTAGTATGGAAAAGGAGGACTGGTCTTTTCGCTTTTTGCGCATGCGAACTCACACGCACCTCAAGCGGTCGCACAATCGCCTAAGTTTGAAATGTGCGCTTGGGCACGTGCCAATGCAAATCGATGATTCACAAGTTTTAGCTCGTGAAAGGGGCCATCAAATGGCAGTCACCGGAATTGATGGACCTAGAGCCAAACTACCATTCTCATCGAACAACCAGACCACCAAATGAACAAGCTGGGATATCAATTCTTGCTTCTATATCCAGATGTACGTTTCCACATCCACCACAACCGCAAACATAGAGGATCCTAGTCTGAGATATCTAATGTTGCTGAAGAAACGTAAACAATGTGCTGGCCATTAATAGTAATTGTCATCAATGTCTCGTAACTATGACACAAGAATCCTGAGGTTGCCTTAAAATTAATCTACTCGATTACTGGGTTGATTTCTGCCGTGCCCATTGGCTTACTTCGGCTTGGGCAACCGGGTAGTATCTCGCCCTCTGAGGAAACCATGGACATTGTTGTGTTGTGTTTTATTTTACTATTTCTGTACCTTCGTTTGAATCCCATAGTTTCTGATGGCATTATGTCTGTTAGCAGACTTTTGCAAATTATATATGTATATATATATATATATGTATATACTTTTCACAAGTTAACTTGTTGCACTGATGAGTCTGTTTCTAGTTGTTTACTTCAGCCCAAAACCGTTAATGACTGGGATTCCCGAGTTGGGATAAGAGCTCTGGTGGATGGAAAGGCTAAAGCGATGAAGGAAAACAGTAACACAGTTGCTGGATGTTCTGTTCATAAGTGACTAATAGTACTATGTTATGAACTGAAAGGAGCTGTTTCTGGCCAAACACCCTTAAACTACTAGCAACCGTTTCCTATGTAACGCCCCACGAAATGGTCTGCTTAGTGCCATTTCCATATTTATACCGCCTAATATCATCCCCTCATGGTTAATGTGCTATATATATAACATAGAGCCATTGAAATCCATGAAAAATGGAATAGAGAAAATTAAAAAGTACAAAACATGTAAAATAATTTGCACATGAATAAAAAAAGGAATAACAATCTTTTGTCCTCTTTCACACGCCACGTTGTACCTTTGTTGCGGTTTTTAAATGTTTATGTCTTTTTAAACGTGAGATCAACAGACTTATGTGCACTGCTTCGACTGCGATCGGTTTTCTCCATTACTTCCAGGATTGTGAGCCATCGGCATACTTCAGCTTCGGGTCCCCAACAGTGGTCGTACGGCGCAAGCGATGGCTAGGCAAGATGTCATTGATTTCATGCATTGTCGCCAAGTGGACGGTTGATCTCCAATTAGCCTTTTTCCAAACTAACACTGCGTGCACAAACATGGCGCGACGTGGTAAACGCTCGTTAGAAATGCGCAAAACGTGGCCAACGTTCTCAACTTACTCAGCCGGACAAGATCACAAAGCGGAATACCCGTCTGAACCAAAACGTAGCGTCTAACGTCATTATTGCGCACTCGGTGTTGCCAACACACGCGGGCAATACTCTGCAAAAGCTACTGTCGAAGGCCGAAAGACTACGCATGTCTTCCACACGGATTGGCCAGGATTCGCATCCGTACAGCAACTTCGCGCGTTCACAGCCTTTGTAAACCCTGCTTTTAGAGTGTAATGTCGTGATGGCACCACGAATGTCTTAAGTTAGAAAACAATAACCTGGCTTTAGCTACAAAAAGGATACCTCTGCACCAATAGTGCTGTTGACAGAGACGCATCTCGCTGGTTAGATAAAACTATCTAGGTGCTCGAGCTGGGTGTCTTCGATGGTGAATGGCGGAAGGGGTACCTGCCAGTCCTGTAAAATAACGTTGCACTTGTAGGGGCAAAGCACATAAAAAACGTAGACGCTGCAAGCACTAATCGATAAATAAACGATTTCATCCCATGGGGATCCACACCGAGCCAGATGATATCATCAGTGATGTCTAAGTCCGTCATGCGATTACTTGGAAGAAGCTCGATACCGAAGTTCTTCAGGCCATCTAAAGCTCCACGCAGTAGTTCTGAGTTCAGAGAGGTTTGAAAACAATCGGTTTTGTATAGTAATTTGGTAACGTTTCGCCTCTAACATAGAGGCTTCATCAGACCAGGTGAATCAGTGTGCAATTTGTGTGGGATTTTATAGCGAACAGGGGCGATAACCGCTTTACCCGAGTCTTGAGCCATGAGTCATTACAGGAACAGTTCAGGATGTCACCTCAAGTGGTTCGATCACAGTGGGAATAGTCCAGGTGTTCCTTTGTGTGTCATGACATTGACGGATAAGCCCGTAGTGTTGGCAATGGGAGTCGGTTTGCACTTTTCAATCTGATCCACGCATCGATGCTCGTCAAGCTGGTCGGCTTAAGACCGCCCGCCACGCATTAGGGATTTCTACCCCCTCCATTCTATTCACGCAGTCGTCAGATTTGGCAATTTCCACCGCCTCGGCAATCAGCCGCTGAGTGGTTGATCGGATACCCTTCCTAATAACCTCTACGTTTTCGAGGTCTATCTGGTGACCCGTGTCTAATGCATGCACAGCTACGGCCGAGTCTCTTATTATTGCTTGATATTCAAACTCGTTTCTTGGTAGTCTTGCAATGCGTCTCCTATGCTCAGAAATTCGTGTGCGTAATTCTCTCGCTGTTTGGCCTATGTACACATGTGCACAGTCCTTACATTTAATTTTATAAACACAGTTAGTCGTCCTATCCTTGGGAAGCGGGTCCTTCAGGTGTACCAGCGCCGAACGTAACGTTCGACCTCGGTGAAAGATCACCCTTATATTTTCCTTGTTTAATACCCTCCGAATTGCCTCCGAAGTGCCTTCCTTGTACGGAATTCCGACCGTCCCTATCCACTCGGCTGGGGGTCTTGACTGCCGGTGTAGCACTTTATGTAATTGGCGTTTAACTAGCCGTCTTGGGTAACCACTTTCTAATAGTTTGCCCATTGCCACTTTCCGCGCAGCCTTTTTGTCCTCCTCCATCTTGCACAAGGTTTGTGCCCTGTAGAAAAGCGCTGAGGCTATCCCAGCGTAAACCTGTTTCGGATGACCCGAGGTGTAGTGGAGTACGCCATCAGTATCCGTTGGCTTGCGATATATTGTCGTCTTTAAATTTCCCCCATTCCTGTGAACCAGGCAGTCAAGAAACGGTATTGTGCCGCTACAAGATTCTAACTCAATAGTAAACTGTATTCTCTCATCAATGGAGTTTAAGTGATCAAGTAACTCGTCCCTCTTATCCCGTTTAACAAGTACAAAGGTGTCGTCTACATAACGCCACCAAACTTTTGGTGAGTTAATGTTGTTTGTTAACGCCCTGTTCTCGAAGTCTTCCATATACAGGTTCGCCAGTACAGGGGATATTGGCGATCCCATTGCGAGACCTTATTCCTGACTGTAAAGCTTCGACTGAAAAACGAAGTAAGACATGTTAAGACACACTGTCATACCCTCGATTATCTGGTTAACTGTTAGTTTCGTCCGATCATTCAGAGTGACATCTTCATTCAGACGACGTCTCGCTATTCCTAGCGCCTCCTCTTTAGGTACATTTGTGAAAAGTGATGTGACATCAAAGCTGACCATTAACTCATCTGACTCAATTTGGAGATTTGCTATCTTTTGAGCGAAATCACAAGAGTTTTTCACGAATGAACTCGTTCGCCCTGTTAGAGGCTGCAATAGCCTTGCCAAATGTCTCGCAAGTTCATGGGTCGGAGAGCCTATACCGTCGACTATGGGCCGTACGGGAACTTCGGGCTTGTGAACTTTTGGCAAGCCATAAATCCTCGGAGGTATAGTCGATTTTGGGTATAGACTGTACCACTTGCCTACCCCTCAATCGTCCTTCACGGTTCTTAAATAGTTACCAACCTCCGTTTTACTCTTATCCATTACTGACGCCACGGTCTTATCAACAACTACTCTATATGGACCCGTCTCCAAATGTTGTCCCAATTTTTCCAAGTATTCTGACCTATTCATTACAACTAGAGTTTTTCCCTTGTCAGCCTTTGTAACTACAATACTGTGATCTTCCTTTAGATAATTTAATGCTATACGTTCAGTTTTCGGAAGATTTGGTTCACCCGGTTGCTGAAACTTAATGATATTTACTAACTGTGCCCGAATATTCTCTGCCTTCGTAGCGGGCAACTTTGTCACCGCGCTCTCAATGCTTGGGATAATCTCTTCCGCATATATCTTAGATTTATTAATGGTAAATGTCAAACCTTTCTCTAACAATCTACATTCCGTTACATTCAAAACGTTACCAAATTACTATACAAAACCGATTGTTTTCAAACCTCTCTGAACTCATGACTACTCGATCGGTTCCAAGTATCTTCCAAGAACTCCACGCAGTACTTCGTCGATCGCGAAGTTAAATAGAAACCTTGATATTGGGTGTCCTTAACGCACGCCACTGGTGACAGGGAAGATTGCAGAAAGCGTGCCGTGGACTCTCCCTCGGCGTGATGTGCGAAAGCATGGCGCGCAAAGTATAATGACGTACTTTTCCGGAACTGCATTTTTCAGCAAGCAGGTCCACAAAACAGGTCGCGCTGCCGAGTCAAATGCAGGCTACATATCCATGAAAGGGAAGATGGTAAGTCTGCGTTAGAGTTGACGATGCGCCGAGGTTGACGAAGAGTGAAAATTTGATTCAACTATCCACGAACGGAGCGAAAACCAGCCTGCTCCTCCCGGTTATCCGACTCAGGAGTGGGGGATGACGTGCAGAGTAGGATGATGTTAGTAGCTTGAATGCAACATATCTCAGACATACGTCCATTTAATTTTCAAACGAAGTGTGAGAACTTTCCTTGAAGATTGGAACCATGATTGACTCAACCCAGGAAGAGGAGACTCTTTCTTGCTACCGGAGCTTCAGAAACGGGGACTTTATCTGCTTGATGATTGTTGCATTGCCGTGTGAACAATTCCGGGGGAAGTTCATCTGCGGCGGTTACTTTGAAGCACTTCGAGTGACGAATCTCAAGACAAATCTTCGCTTCTGCTGGTGCTTCGCGCGGCACTAACCATAGCATGCGATTGGGTT